GCTCGCCTCGGTGGGGGGATCTGGCATGGGCATAGAGATCGGGAATGGCCATGGTGGTGTTGATGGGATGAGATGAAATTGCATGCTTCACTGCCATGTACAGCATATCTAAATATCATTGAGCAATGCCCATACGTCCTCCCTTCCCCCATCCCGCATCCCCCATGTCCCCCTCCCCCCCTCCCCCCCTCCCCCTCCCTTCCCCCCCCCTCTCCCTCCTCCCTCCCTACCGTGCAGTAAATCCACCACATCTGTCTATGACGACACCCGGGGAGATGTTCCACGTAGCGGCTCCTGAGAGGGTTCTTCGCGCCAGACAAAAGGACGGACAGCATGTATCTGAGCTGCGTGGACGGTTGGAGGAGCTGGTCCGTGGCATGGTCGGCGGAAGAGCGAGCGAAGCGGCGGCTGGGACCGTCTCGCTCGTCGCATCGCTGGTGTACTATGGTCTGACAAAGGGTCTTTGCCAGCCATCGGTCGGCGAAGAGTATGGTTATGTGCTGGCGACGCGGAGCTCGGCGCCTCTTGAAGGCATCGTTCCGGCGGCTGGTCCGCTCTCGGCTCCTGGTCGCGTCCGCGCGGCGAATGGCTCCATCAAGTGGGCGCCGTCGGACGTGCCGCTGGTGCGCATGTGGCTGGCGTTGCTGCTCAAGATCGTAGCACCGCTGCTGGTGGCTCGCGCCGACGTCCGAGCTGCAGTGGCACGCTTGATCGGCGCCTGGGTCGATCGCCACTGGCCGCTGATCCAGCGCCTCGCCGCCGCGGTCATCGCTCTCCACGAGGCCTGGTTCTTTGCCGTCGGCTCGTACGCTTCGATCGCTGACCGGCTCTTGGGCATTGTCCACGCTGATGTGGCGCCCTCGACCTCGCATCTGGCCCGAACTCGCAACCAGGGCTACGTCGGCATGGCGGTCCTCCACGCCATCCCGCCGGCCATCGACCTTGTCTCTGCCCTCCGCACGCTCGCCACACCGCCGGCCGGCGAGTCGACCGACGACAGTGAGCATGTGCGTGGCGCACAGCTGCTCGCCCCCGAAATCGACTGTCCCATCTGCTTTGAGGACATGTCGCACAACGTCTCAGCCACGCTCTGCGGTCACGTCGCTTGCTGGGACTGCCTTATCCAGTTTACCGCCTCGGACGCTTGCTGCCCGACCTGCCGCGCGCCGACCAAGCCCTCTGATGTCGTCCGTCTGTACAACTACTGAGGACGAGATCGAGATCGAGATCGAGATCGAGCATGCAAACCCCGCCCTCCCCCCCCTCCCCAATTCGATCGCATCCCAAGAAGCCCATCGCCTGCCATCACCCAGAAACCCCACGCCTACTCTCTCTCTTCGCATTCCCCTCACCCAACTCTGTACCCCCCCCCCCCCCCCCCCCCAAACGCCGACCGCCGCCTGCCACTCGTCGCACCGACTCTCAGCCGAGATGGAAGTCGATGCCGAGGACCTGGCCAGGTTCTCTGTCACGTACCACATACCGACAGCATCAAGTCAAGCATTTCCCAAGCCAAGCTATGTCCCCAACCGAGACTCTGACTCTGACGACAATGTAGAGACCGTGGCCCGAGCGAGTAGAGCTGGCCCAAGTCAGGATGGGCTCGGATCGACTTCCGAGAGCAGAATGCCGGCTGACTCTGCCACGAGTCAGAGCCGCATTGAGGAGCGATTGGCCATGGCAACGGGTGGACGAGTCTCTGCGCTCTCGCGATCCGAGCATGAAAGCTATCTTGGCGCTCTGGCTGCTCTCCGGGAGGATCCAACCCGCCAAGACGCGCTCGCTGCCATCGCTGCTCTTCATCCTGTGGTCGAGCGCGAGCAGGCAGCGTTCCGCAAGGTCATGGAGCAAGTGTATGCCCATGCTGGCCGGTACAACATCCTGCATCCGCACGTCCGGTCGACCATGGCCAGCTATCTGGCCGCCAGAGCCGCCGCGCAGGCCGAGTGGTACCCAGCATCGGTGCGGTACTCGGCGGGCGAGACGGTGTATCTCGGGCGCAAGGCCGGACCGGACACCGGCGAGGCTAGCTTTGAGTGTGTACAGCCCGAACTGGCAAGAAGGGGCCTCCGCTGAGGGAGCTCACCCACCTCGATCGGCCGTACACCTTTGCGATGGGCAAGAACGACCCGCTGCCCATGCCGTGGCACGCGAGCGACGGCGCGCCGCGGATTCTGCCGCCGATCTCGCTTGATACCGAGGCGGAGGGCGCAGCGGCGGCGTTTGAGGCCGACGTGGTCATTGACGCTGAGACGCTAGAGACGCTGTTTGGCGTGGCCACGCCCAACCGCGATCCGGCGTGGACGCTGCCTGTAGTGGTTGACGCTGCCGGCGTGGCCTTTGTCGATCCACCAGCCCTGCCCGCATCGGTGGACAAGCTCCATCCGAGGACACTCAACCAGATGTACTTTGAGGGTGCGTACGAGAGCCTGCTAGCAGCGAACATTGAGCCAGTTGTTCACTTCCGGTACTCGGGATGGCGGCTCGGATCACTGCGGATGGTTGTCCGCAGCCGCTGCCTCGGCCTCGATCCGGCGACACCCGAAGCTGTTCTGGGCGCTGCGGTCAAGCTCGAGTACCTGCGACCAAACGCGTGGGAGCACATGGAGCCGACAGCGGCGATCAAGCTCATCGTGCACTCGCTCACCCGCGGGAGCGGCCGGGTCTCACTCGCACACATTGCGCCGTCGTCCAACACCGTCGAGGCAACTGAGCCGGTCGACGCGTCGTTGGTGGCGTCGGTCGAGAGCTTTGGCGCGGCATGCGCTCTGGTGGCGGCTGTGCTGGGCAAGGTGGCGCGGTCGCCACAGGGTCGGTGCATCATCTCGCACGCGCACCGACACGCGTCGGCGGCCATCCTTGTCGGCGATGACGACGGGCCGCAATCGCTTCAGGGAGCCATCCACGTGGCACTGGCCGGATCACGGTCGTCGGTGCCGTACATCAAGCCGCTCTGGCAGAACGGCTCGGCCATCGAGGACACATTCCCTGTCGACGAGCGACTCGACTCGAAGCGAGCGGCAATCAAGATCCGGCCGGACGGCTCGCGCTTTGTCGACTGCTGCCACTACTACGCGCGGACCGGATCGTGTGCCCGCGACGACTGCGTCTTTCCGCACATCACCGAGGCCGAGGTCCGCGAGCTCTGCGCCCGCCACAATCTCGAGTGCCCGGCGCTGACTGCCAAGCCGGCGCGCGGGCGGGCCAAAAAAAAGCGCTGGCGTGCGCGCAAGGGCAAGGGCAAGGGCAAGGGCAAGGGCGAGGCTGGGGGCAGTTAAAGGCAGGCTTTAGCAGAGGCTGGCGGTTAGACATCGTCTAGTGAGCCCGGGGTGGCGCGGGCGACGGGGATGAGCTGCTCGGCCATCTCGAGCGGGAGATACTCGCGGATGAGGTCGTTGATGGCATCGTGCGACGGCGCAAGGCCCTGAGCGATGAGCATGTTCTTGACGCGCTCCTCGCGGAGCTTGACAGACGCGCCGTTGCCCGAGTGCGAGCCATACGCGTTGAGGCCTTCGGCAAGCTGCTCGAGGTACTCGTACGAGCCGGCGAGCAGGGTCTTGGCGGCGGCCTGGTCGATGGTCGAGCCGAGGTAGCGCTCAAAGAGGACCTTGATGGTGGTCCGCGGCAGAGAGGGAAGTGGCTTGCCCGAGGCTGCGCGCGGCGCAGGGGTCTTGGGTGGGAGGCCGATGCCGAGGTCTGCCATGAGCTCCTCGACAGCGGAGCGAGAGGCGGCGTCGGCCTTGTTGCGTCGTGCAACGCGGAGGCCTGTGGCACGGACCGGAACTTGGGGCGCCGATGGGCGGTGCTTGGCAAACGCCGGCGTTTTGCCCTTAGTCACGTCGACTGGGGTGAGCGGGCGCGGCGGGGTGAAGGGCATGCCCTCGGGGCGGTCGCCAGCGCGTGGACGGACCCGCGCCGGAACTGCTGACGCCGGACGGAGCGGCGGCTCAGGCGAGTCGCCGAGCACGTCGCCAGCGGCCTGGTACGCGGTGTGGTCCTCCCAGCCAGCGTCATCGTCGAACTCGGCGGCAACGAGGTCTGCGCCTGCGGCCAGGGTTCGCGGCTTTTTGGCGGCGCCGGCGTCGGACGGGGCGGTCAGGCTCCGCTTGCGTGAGGGTGTCAGATCCTCGCCAGGCGTCGCCGTCATGGCCACCATTTGGAGCAGCGACTTTGGGGTGGCGTTGACGGCTGGGCGCGGGCGGATGGCGCCGACTTTGCCGGCGAGCATCGGGGCCACAAACGGGGCCGACGACGCCACCGGCGCCGGCGCACCGTCGGACCCGCCGCTCGCCAGCAGCGCTTCAGCGGTGCGGACCAGCAGTGAGCGCGGGGTGATGCCCCCGTTGTGAGCCCTGTTCATGGCCGGGAGCGAGCGGATGGAGGTGTACGGGCCGGACGACGGCGCGCCGTTCTGCCGCGGCGGGAGGTTCTCACTAGCGCCCGTAGCACTTGCGCTTCCGCCGCCACTTGCCGGCGACGGCATAGCCAGAGCCATGGCTGTCTTGACGAGCATAGTTCGCGGCGTGTCGCCACCCTTGACGGCCACCGATGACGCTCTCCGCGAGGCCGAGCCGCCCATGCGGGCCGAGACCCTGGCGCTGGCCAGCCTGTCGGCCGAGGGCGTGGCAAACGTCCGGCCGGCCGATGCTGGAGGCCGGGGCAAACCATGCAAAGCTGTCCTTGTTGTCGAGCCTGTCAAGCCTGTCGAGGCTGTGGAAGAGGAAGTCGTCGATGCCCCGCTGCGAGTAGGCGTGTGTCGGGCGCCTGGGGTAGCGGTCATGGCCATGGCCCGAAGCAGGCCACGTGGGGTGGCTCCTGGCCGTGACGACATAGACAAGAGAAGAGCGACAAAGTATGTCTATGTCTATGTATGTGTGTGTATGTGGCTGGGTGGGTGGGTGTGGCCGTGGAGAGTGGGAGTGTAGTAGTGGCCGTGTGCCTGGTGTGGCTCTTTGGCGCGCTTTCCCCCTTTGGCGCCGCCATTCGGTCAGCTGCTGGAAATGAATGGCCACCGCTTACCGCCCACCGCCCGCCGCCCGCCGCCCGCCGCCTGCCGCCAGCCGCCCGCCGCCCGCC